CCCTTTCTCCTGCCCTTTTGGCCTGCTGCTTTGGGTGTCCCTGAGTTGTCCCTGGGGCTGACTAGTGGCTTAGTGCTAAGGTATTTGACTGCTAACCAGAAGGCTGGTGGTTCAAACCCACCAGCCACTCCTCAGAAGGAAGACTGAGCAATCTACTTCTGTAGAGATACCGTCTGGGAAACCCAAGGAGGTGTTGCTATGAGTCTGAGTCGACTTGATGGCATTGAGTTTGGCTTTTTTGGTTTGGACCACTGGAGGGGAGAGGTCAGGTTTGGGTCAAAGTGAGGTCTCTATGAAACATCTAACAGGCCCAGAGATTTTTTTGTTTCCATGTAATACTGACCCAGTTCTTGTGGCCCTGCTCGGTACCTTGCAGAGGTTTACCAGTGCTCCTAGAATACAGTCCAGACTCTGAATGGCCTTCAGGGGCCTGTGGAGGGCAGCTCTGGCTGACTGAAATCACACCTCTGCCCTTGTTTGTCCCTCAGGCCACCATGCCTAGCCTTGCCTCAGGGCCTTTGCTGGTCCCTCTATCTGGAGCACTCTTCTCCCAGTTCCTCCTTTGCAGTATCCATACCTCAGCCAAAATGCCACAACCTCCCTACCACCCCTCACCTGTTTTATTTTATTTAAAATATTTATTGGCATCTGAAATTGTTTACTGTCCGGTGCAAGCCCCCTGAGTGCTGAAAGCTTGTCTCCTGGTGGCTGCTGTGTCCCTAGCATGCAGAATCGTTTCTGGGACAGGGAGAGGTTTGGGTGGAGATCCTGGAGAGGCCAGTGTCACAGTGGGATGGAAAACATAAAGCAAGTGTGAAGAGGAAGACTAAGGAAGGAAGAGAGCCCAGAGTGGGAAGGGGGAGGAGACAGCCCCATGCTGGGGTCAGGTGAAAGCAGAGCCTCCTGGGAAGGAGGCTGAGAAGGAACAGCAGATGGAAGGGTGTTGACTTAACCAAGGAGGAGGTTCAGGAAGGAGACAGTGGTTCTCTGTCCAAAGGCCACAGGCAGGTCAAGGGGGATGGCGCAGGAGAAGTGTCTGGATTTCAAACTGCCAGACCCAGTGTGGGAGAGGGGAGGAAAGCTATTTCCAGAGAAAGAGCATCAGGGGGTCAGGGAAGGGAAATCATTAAATGAGAGGAAGGAACCAGTAGAGGAAACAGGTGGATAGGAAGGTCTGAGGAGGTGAGTCATGTCCCTGAGCAGCCAGCCTTGGGCAAGATGGGGTCCTTTCCCTCTGAGATTAAAATCCAGGGCCCTGTCCAGGGTCAGGCATAAAGAAGGAAGATCATCTCACCTTGATACAGAGGCACTTCTAGGAAGGAATTAAGGCAGGATAGTTGGAAGGATTAAAGGATGGGGAGAGGGGCACACAGGGCCCAAGTGGGAAGCCTATGGCCAGGGTTTAGACAGAGCCTTGGCCAGATGTTTTCCAGGGAAGAACTTCTGGCCCGGGCCAGAGCCCTCAGCCTGATCCTGTCCTGCATGGAGGTGCCTTTTCACTCAGGGTCTTTGTGAGTTACAAACCTGATTGGCAGATGGAAGTTAAGGGGAAGTTTTTGAAAATGTGGTGGGACAGGATGTGGGCTGTCATGGGGTTCCTGGCGGCTGGAGGGCTGGGTTTGGGAAGGATGTGAGTTGGGTTCCCCACAAGGGCCTGTGGTGGGAGCAGAGGTTTAGGACACTACTGCTTGGTAGGGGTGTCCTAGTGGTACTCTACTCTAGTTTTGGGTTCCAAGTAACATGGAAACAAAACAAAAAAAAAATCTCTGGGCCTGTTAGATATTTCATAGAGACTGCACCTTGACCCAGACCTGACCTCTCTCCTCCAGTGGTCCAGTGCCCATCCCAGGGTAAGGGAAAATGGTGCTCCTGGTTCCAGTTCCACCAAGCAATGTCCTGTAGGGAAGAAGCAATGAAATGTGTTCTTGGGAAGGTGGATTGGATCCTGAATCCCTTTAGCACCTCTTCCTCTTCCCTCCTCTGTTCTCTCCCCCTCACTTCCTGTAGACACTGAATACTTTGGAAGGGGACTCTGCCATGGGTTGGGAGAGGAGGAACAAGGGTCCTGGTGCCCGGACTCTTAGAGTTTCTAAGCTCTTCTCTGCTACTCTTGTAGGTGCTGGGAGCCTTGTTCCTGGCCATTGGCCTCTGGGCCTGGGGGGAGAAGGTAAGATGGGGTGGGGCTGGCTTTGGGGCAGGGAGGTGGAGGGTGGGAGAGCCTACTCCACATACCTGCTCCTGCTCCTTTGGCCCAGGGCGTGCTCTCCAACATCTCTGCGCTGACGGATCTCGGGGGCCTGGACCCTGTGTGGCTGTTTGTGGTAGTTGGAGGTGTCATGTCAGTGCTGGGCTTTGCTGGCTGCATTGGAGCCCTCCGAGAGAACACCTTCTTGCTCAAGTTTGTGAGTGTGGCTACCACAGGGATCTTGCCTCCTCCCACCCAATTATATTAATTAGCTTCATTATTACATTACTAGTATAATGATGCTCGTATCATCTGTATTTATTAGAACTCTTTCTGTTGTAAATGACCGAAACCTAGTGGTCTAAGCAAAAAGAGCGTTCGTTGGCTCCTGTAGTGAAAATGAAAAGCTCATGGATATTCTGGCTGTGGAGTCCCTGGGTGGTACAAACAGTTAATGCCCTCAGCTGCTAACCAAAAGGTTAGAGGTTCGAGTCTACCCATAAGCACCTCAGAAGAAAGGCCTGGCAGTCTACTTCCAAAAGACTAGCCATTGAAAACTCCATGGAATACAGTTCTACTGTAACTCACATGGAGTCTCCATGAGTCAGGTTGACTGATGGCAATTGGTTGATTCTGGCTGTAGGCGTATTTGAATCCAGAAGCTGCATAGTCACAGTGTCAGGAGAAGTAGTCTCCTTTCTCAACTCTGAGCTTTCTGGGTTGGCTCTACTCCTACATCCCCTACATGGCTTCACTGTGCCTCCCGGAAACTCCTCCTGGAAATTCTTCCTGGAAGTCTGGGCTTTCTTCTCAACTATTCTGCCAAAGTCCTTCCATTGAGTCTCCTTGGCTCTGATTGGCTGTCTCTGGACCAATCCCTGTGGCCTGGGGAAGGCCGTGCTCAGTCTTGTATCTGGGATTGAGGTGTGGGAGCCAGAGTTGGCTCTGTGGAACAATATGGATGGAAGGTGGTTACTTCAAGAAATCAGGTGTGTTGATCAGAGGAAAGGAAATGGTAGATAAGAACAGCTTTGCCTTTATACCATCATAAAGCAGCACTAAAGTAAAAGTAATAGCGATTCCTGTTGGGTTTCCAAGGTGGTAAATCTTTATGAAAGTAGATTGACCCATCTTCCTTCCGGGGAGTGGCTGATGGGTTTAAACCTCTGACCTTCTGGTTAGCAGTCAAATGCCTTAGGCACTACACCACCAGAAGTCCTTAAAATAAAAGTAAGTGGGGACTTGGCCTGTCTTGGGGTAGGGTGGGGCTCTGCCACATGATCCCCCAGGCCCCAAGGAGTTACCTGATCTCCAATCCCTACCTGTGTATGCGCCCCACCTCAGTTCTCCGTGTTCCTGGGCCTCATCTTCTTCCTGGAGCTGGCAACAGGGATCCTGGCCTTTGTCTTCAAGGACTGGATTCGAGATCAACTCAACCTCTTCATCAATAACAATGTCAAGGCCTACCGGGATGACATTGACCTCCAGAACCTCATTGACTTTGCTCAGGAATATGTGAGTTCAGGGTCCAGCCGGGGCCACATACAGGAGGTGCCTGATGGCCAGTGAGTAAGGGAAGTACCCTGTGAGCTGGGACCATTCCCTACCCACTCAGGCCAGGCAGGTCTCTGGGGAAGCCTCCTGTTTGAGAAGAAGCCAGCCCCTTGTGATCCTGGGTATGCTCAGGCTGCAGGAACAAGGGTGGGAAACAGAAGCCAGAAGTTCTAGACTGACAGCTCCCAGGCCAGGGGTTACAGCACCTTTAGTCAGAGGAATTTTCTTCCTCTCTTTCTCTAACTGCATTTTTTTTTTTTTTTTTTTTTTATATATGTGACTTGGGTGAAAATTTACAGAGCAAAATTTTCTTCCTCTCTTAAACCCATGGGTGGCTGGAGCTATGTTGCTACTCCCTTGACTGGCTCAGGGGCTCTTCTCTTTGCTGCTATCCTCTCCATATATTTTATTACATCTGCTCAGCCCTCTTCTCTCATTCAAATTATTGTTTGGCCTCAGAATGGGTTAGAGTTTGAGACCCTTCACAGAAGCATGCCCTCAAGCTTGCAAACATCACCCCTTCAAAGCAGTCAGTGAACAGTTTACTAGATCATAGACACCTCTCAAATGCAGTCATACCCCCTCACACAGTCACATAAACTCACTCACAGGATGCTGATTTGAGAACAGTGACTTCCTCTGGGCCTCCCTGAGGGGTGGGCAGGTTTCAGCCATGCCCTGTGGGGACAGGGCATCACTCGACCCTGTGCCTGTACTGTGTCTTCTGCACGCACTAGAGATTGTGGAAGGACCTTCTCTTCTGTGCAGGGAGAGGAGGGGAATCCTGCCTGCCCCTTGTCCCGCCACCCTGGTAACCATCCCCAATACACACCCCACATTGTCATCCTGTCCCCACATGTAGTTCAGGGCCTGGCTGTTGGTCTGCATCCCTTCTCCAACCTAGGATCAATATCCTCACCCCACCTTTCCTCTTCTGCCTCTCTGGAGCTAGGGGACCAGCTCAGGACCCCTTTCCAGCACTAACCAGACAGGATCCTAGAGCTCTTGCCTTGTCTCTCTGATGCTCTGGACTCAGCCTAGCCTGTCTGCTGCGGGGATGAGTGGGGAGGTGCCCACCTGCTAGCTGCCTCTAGGATCATACCCAGCCCAGCTTGCCTCCCTGTGTGTGTGGGGTGGGTGGGTAGGGGACAGCTGCTGGCCACAGGCCTGGCTCACCTGAACCCTGCCCCCAGTGGTCTTGTTGCGGAGCCCGAGGTCCCAATGACTGGAACCTCAATATCTACTACAACTGCACTGACTTGAACCCGAGCCGGGAGCGCTGTGGGGTACCCTTCTCCTGCTGTGTCAGAGACCCTGCGGTGAGTGAGCTGGGGGCTGGGGGTGGCATGGAGGGCATCTCAGTGTACTGTCCCAGCCTGGGAAACCCCCCAGGGCTCTGCTCAGCTCTGCCCTGCTTTGGGCACTGCTTTAGGGGGAGGTGATTTTACATGGGGCACCCCTGCCAGGCTGGTAAATGTGTTTCTGCAGTTGGTGGCACAGGCCTGCTGGCATAGGGACTGCTTTCCCTCTTAAGCAAATCCATCTCCTTGATAGTGGTACAGTTGAAATTGCAGGACCCCAAGGGACAAGGATTAGCCTAGAGGGTTCCCTGCACCCTGTGTCCCCAACCAAATGGAGCTCCAAGCAGTGTCTGCACTTGGCCCCACCTGAGGCTATCTGGGGGCTAGGAGTTGACCTTGTTACCTCAGCTGTTGGGGGTGGGTGGCAGAGGGCTGGGCTGCCATGCCTCCGGGCTGCCATTCTGGGGTGGAGGGGTGGCTTTCTTTATGGCTTTCTTCAGGGTAGACATTTTTCATCCCTCCAGTCACTGTCCCTCTGGGACACTGAGGGCTGGTTTCCCTCCATGGTTTCCCCCATCCTCATCAAACACCAGCAGGCAGATTTCTGAAGGGGGTGGTTCTAAGCTGACCTTTGCATCTGTGTGACCTGTCATCTGGAAAGGGAGGCTTGGGCCTCAGCAAGATGCATTAAGAGCGGTGGGTGGTCAGAGTCTGTGGCTCCACCTGTTCTCCTGAGGAGGAACTTGGGGTGCCTAGTACTGAAGGCCCTGTGGGGTCCCCACTTGAGAGTCACTCATTGGCCTCTTTGTCTTCAGGAGGATGTTCTCAACACCCAGTGTGGCTACGACGTCCGACTCAAACTGGTAAGGGGCAGGGAGAGTAGGGGGCATGTTGGCCCTGGGATAGGAACAGGGGCTTCTGTGGGGAGAGGGTGCTGAGACCCAGGAGCCCATCCAGGCCCCCAGGGCTTGGCACTGCCAGATGTGGGGAGGAGTCCACAGACAGGAGCACAGTTGGGTTTGCTCATCCCGACTCTTTGTTGAGCCCATGGTATGCCTGGCATTATCTTGGATGTTGATTCAGGCAGAGCCCTGGTCTTCAGGGAGTTACATTCCAGTGGAGGACAGACAGTAAGCTCATAGATCCATGAACGGGAACAGTCCTGTGATTATTTCATTAAGTGCTTGCAAGAAAATAACATTGGGGGTGAGGGAATGTTGGGCTAGGAGAAAAGGCCTCTTGGCAGAGGGGTGCCTGTGTGGAGACCTCGAGGATGAGAAGGAGCCACTGGAGGAGGGAAGGGGGAGCAAGGTCTGAGATGATGCCTGTGTGTCCCCAGGAGCTGGAGCAGCAGGGCTCCATCCACACCAAAGGCTGCGTGGGCCAGTTTGAGAAGTGGCTGCAGGACAACCTGATAGTTGTGGCCGGGGTCTTTGTGGGCGTCGCCCTCCTTCAGGTACTGCTGTGGCTGCCGTGCCCTCCATCCCCTGGGCCTCCTGGCCCTGTAGCAGCCCCTCCCTCACCTGCCCTCTGTCTTACAGATCTTTGGCATCTGCTTAGCCCAGAACCTCGTGAGCGACATCAAGGCAGTGAAGGCCAACTGGTGAGGCCGCCACACTGGCCATGGCCACCCACCTGGCCCAGGCCTCTGGTGGGAGGCTCCTCAGGTCCCCTTTACTGTGCCTGTGATAGGCAAGGAGGTGTTTCTGCTGGGATTTGAGCTCCCAGGGAGCCCGTGGGTGCAGGGCACTGTCCGCCCAGGGAAAAGCTGCCTCGGCTGGGCTGGGCTGGCAGCTTGGAGCTATGTGTGCATGAGAAGTGTGGGTGGGCGGGTATGCGGGATAGCCACCATCTGGGCTATCATTGGGCTGGTGGGCTCTCCAGGGGACTAGGAAGGGCATAACTATGAGGGTCTAGGCCAGGTGGGGTAGGAGGGTGCTGCTGCTGGTGGGGTGGTGCTGCTTGTGTCCCCTCATACCCAGGTGGGGGCACTTCTGTGTACTGGCTATGTGGGTCAGGCTGGGGCCCCTGCTGTTGCCTGGGACCTTGCCTCATGCAGCTTCAGAGCTCTCGTTTCTACCGGCAGTGACCTTGAGCCTGCCAGTAGCTCAGCACAGCCTCAGTGTCCCAGACTCTAAACTGGGTCCAAGAATTTTCTCTCCCTTGCTTGCCTCTCAGGATCAAACGTGATGATGGCTACAAACTACTCAAATAAACAAAACTTTGAAAACCACTGGCTTGCATCCACCATCTCAGAGGTTCCGTCGGCGGTGTGGCCTCTGTGGAACTCTCCGGCCGGGGCACCTGACCCAACCCACTCTGCCGATGTGTTTTCTTTGGCCTGGATAACTTATACTTTTGAGCTGAACTTTAAAAATTGGTGTATTTCACATAAAGTTCAGATTCCTGGCTTCTTGGGGAAAATGACAGCATGGGGTCCACTTGGGCTTTTCAGAGGTAGTATCCCTGGGACTTGTATGTCCCGTCCATGCATGTCCCTGCCTGGCCCAGTCTGCACCTTAAGTGGCCCACTTGACCCTTGCAGACAGTGAGTTGGCACCCCACCACCACCACCACCTCTGCAGGGTTATTGCCTGCAACACAGACTGCTGTGGTTCTGGCCTGGGGCAAAGCATAGAATGCAAAGAAAGGGGAGGCTGGACCCTTCCCTGAAAAGCCTGGCAGAGGCTTGACCCCGGTAGGTGCTGAGATGTGTGCCATACCACCTAGGAGAGCAGCTGAGGGTGAGATAGGGGGTCAGGATATTTCAAAGAAAGCAGCTGGAAGCCCAGAGCTTGGTACCCATAGGCTTGGAGGGAGCCTGGTTTGGCGGCTAAGCGTGGATGGTAAGCTCCTTTGGGACCCAGAGAAAATTGAGTACTGCAGAGCTGCCTCATCCCCACCAGGGGGCGCCTTAGCACACCATTCCCTGGGTCTGGCTGCTTTGCTCCGGCAATCTCACTCCAGCAGAGCCGTGAGCCTGGTATTCCCATCTTGCTGACCAAAAGCATTTGAAGACTTCTAAAGCAGTAACAAAGCTGTAAAGTGGCTCAGACTTGAGAAGTCTAGCTGCTGCTCTCAGCTGCCTGAAGGGATGTGTGTGGAATGTCCTGGGCTGTGAATGAAAGGGGAAGTTGGTCTTGTTCAGCTATCCCAAACTCAGATGCCCTCTGGGTCTGGTGGGTTATGTAAATGAATGCAGTAGCCCTTTGGGTTGCGAGGCCTTTACAGGACAACTTTGACTCCTTCACTGTTAATAGATACTGCACAGAAAGACACTGCTATATGAGAAGACACGTTTGCAGGATTGAGCTGATAATGGCATCTGGCCTTGGGGCACAATAGGGTGTGGTGGGGACTATGTCAAAGCACCTCCCCAGCTAGAGGTGGTGGCCCCTGTTCAGTTGTAGCTCACTGCTGTAAAGTCGGAATGCAGGCCTCATGTCAGAACTCCTAAGAAGCTAGAAAGCCAGATTTTTATGTGAAATAATCCTGATTTTAAAATGTTGGCAACTAATTAAAAACAAACTGCAAGCCGAGCAAGATGTGTGGGGGCCACCTTTGGTCCCTGTGCCACTGTAGATCCTTCTGGGACAGCCACTGGCCGGGGCCCCAACTGCTCTGCTATTGAGAGGTGCTAAAGGCTGCTGCCAGGTGGACAGGATGGGGTGCATGACCTGGCATCTGGGCTCCCTAGCAGGCTGGCGAGTGTCCCGGCAGGAGCTGGCCGTGACGATGTATACACGCTACAATCTGTAATAAACGCAGCTCGAAACATCCAGTGTATGTCTGGCGCTTTGTTTTCACTTTCATTGTCTCTGTTAGGTCCCCCAAGCCCCACCCTAGTGAGGTGGAGTTTCTTGCTCAGAGAGGAGGGAAGTCATCCAGAGTGCTGGATGGGGCACAAGATCTGATTCCACTTGGGGCTTTTCTGCAGCATCAGGGTGAAACCTGCACATCTGGAGTATGCGCTACATTCCTTCCCCAAGCCAGCAGTTGAGCGTCTACTTAGATGTGCAGGATACGGGGGGGGGGGGGGGGGGGGGTGGGCAATGGTCTCTCCCCTCTTGGAGCTTGCGTTCTAGTGGGGCAGCAGACAATTAAGCATTTTCATTGTTAAGGTGAACTATGAAGAAAGGGTGAGGCACTAGGGGTTAGAGGGTACCTGTGGGTGCCAGGGAGAAGGGCCTATTGATGGAGGGATGAGAGGAGAGGGCGTCTCTGGGAAGTTCTTGAAGAGCAGTGTTCTAGGTTTTGGTACCAGCTGCCGTAGAGACCCGGAAGTCAGGGTGAGATGAGCATGAGGGTGGCTGGAGAGGTGGGAGTGAATGAAGAGCAAAGGCATGGACACACAGGGAAGCAATGGGACCAGGGCATGTTTAGAAACAGGATTGATGAGCTGGGAGGTGAATGACCTGATAGGAGTGGCCGAGAACTGGCCAGGGACCCAGAGAGAGTTCTCTGAAGCTTGGTTCTGCTAGAAGGCATCCACCCACCACCCATCCATCCATCCATCTGTCTATCCATCACCCCGTCTTAGTTCTCTAGTGCTGCTATAACAGAAATGCCACAGGTGGATGGCTTAACAAACAGGAATTTATTCTCTTACAATTTAGGAGGCTAGAAGTTCAAATTCAGAGTGCTGGCTCTAGGGGCTATGTGAAGGCCCCTCAACCTTCGGCTTTAGCTCTACCTTTTATTCCAGACCCACTGAAGCTAGAGGTGTCTCCTAACTCAAGGCAGCTGCTGGCTGCTGAGGCTGATGAACCCAAGGTCGGCAAGTAAAATGGCACAGTCCCAAGATCAGCAGGCAACATGGCAGGCCACTGGTTCAAGTCTAGGAAGATCCAAAGATCAGCAGGCAATAGGGCAGTCCACTGGTTCAAGTCCAGAAACTGGAGATGAAGACTCAGCCAAATGCAAGATCCAAATGTGCCAAAAACTAGAAACCTTTCTTAATGCTTCTCCTTATATACTGAAAGCAGGCCATACTCTAAAGGTAACACTTCTTCCACTGCTCAGGTACTCACAGCAGATTCCTCCATGGGGGTTATTATAATCTCATCACGAGGAATAACTTTGGCTGCCAAGCCACTCAAAACCTCACCCAGCCAAGTTGACACACAACCTTAACACCCCCCACCCACTGTCATCCATTCAGGTGGGCCTTGCAAGGAAGCCAGGCTCTGAGGCAGCTCAGAACTTCCCCTACCCACTTGGAGCCCAGTCTGTTGGAGGGAGAGGAAGCACACTGCTAGTGATACAACATTTGTGTCATGACAGGCACATGATGATTGCTGCTAGGTGAGATTTCAGGCTGGTTAGAGACAATTTCCTGTCCCCAAAGTAGAGCTTGGAGCAGGCCTTCCCCTTGCTCAAGGATCCCTTATCCAGAAGCACAGCCTCTCAGGATGAGCAGAAACACAAGCAAGCATGTGAGAACTACCTCCTGTCTATCCTGGGCCATGCAGGGCAAAGCCACCTTCCTGCCCTCTCAGGATGGGGTCCACACTGGCGGCGATGGGGGTGGTCATTATTTGGCAGCTTGGGGGACCTGGGCCTGCTTGTTTAGCCAGAGGAGGGACACCACACTAGTAACAGTTCTCCCATCAGAACATGAGAGGGTGTCTTGTGATAGCAAATGATCTCAAAGAGGTCCAAGGGTCCCCTTATTTATGGGGATAACTGTGGCAGCGATGGGCTTATGGAGAGTGGCCTGGGGTTCACAGTCCCAGGCATCCAACTGCATGTGTTACCCCCAAGCCTTCCATTTGGTCATTCAAGAAGCATTATTTGAGCACCAGCTACATGCCGAGCTCTGTGAACAAAGCAGAGTCCCTATCTCTGAGCTGGCCCTCTAGTGGGAGGAAACCAAACCAAAAAAACAAACTCATTGCTGTTGAGTCGGATCCCATTCAAGCAAATTGTTGTTGTTGTTGTTATGTGCTGTCGAGTCAGCCCTGACTCATAGCGACCCCTCCTTGGGTTTCCGAGGCAGTATCCCTACGGAAGTAGGATTGCCCAACCTTCCTTCCGAGGAGTGGCTGATGGGTTTGAACCGCCAGCCATCTGGTGAGCAGTCAAGTGCCTTAGCCACTATGCTACCAGAGCTCCCTCCAAGGCAATATCACTACGAAAATAGATGGCCCAATCTTCCTTCCAAGGAGTGGCTGGTGGGTTTGAACTTCCAGCCTTCTGGTTAGCAGTCAAATGCCTTAGGCACTATGCCACCAGAGCTCCTAGTGAGAGGAAACAGGTCATAGATAAACAAGGATGCTATGTGAAAAGATATAGCAGAGTTAAGAAAGTAGGGACTATAGGTTGGGGGGATGTGATTCTCATTTTATACCAGGAAGTCCTCTGAGAAGGTGGCATTGGGCCTAAGGGAGTGGGTGTGAGCCAGGTGGATATTTGGAGGAAGAGTTTTTATAGGCAGAGGGGGCAGCAAGTGCAAAGGTCCTGGGGGCGGGAGCAGGTTTGGTGTGTTGAAAGGGGTCTTTGTGGGACCACTTCTGGGACTCTCAGTCTAGAAGGCTTTCCAGAAGGAGCAGGCAGAGAGGAGGGGATAGCTGAGAAGGACAGAGAGATCCCCAGATAATGAGCATGT